TTCAATTACACAAAACCAAAAATGTTTAAATAGTAACACCACTATGATTCAAGGGAAAAAAATTAGAGGATCAATAAACCGGGATGACATTTCCAAAAATGGTATATTCCCGTCTAAAAATCTTTTAAAATGTTTATCTCAACTCATGAACTTTTATAAGGTAAAAGTCACTTGAACTGGACTAAATCCTCGTGGAAATCAATGAAATGAAATGAATTATTCTTGAATTTTTGAAACAATAAATAGACGGCAAAGCATCAATGTCATGACAACATCATGAAATTGAATTATGATTCATGTTGTTATGGCCACATCAAATACTTGTTTCCATATAGCATAAATTGATTATCTGCAATAGTAAAGGAAACCATAGCAAAAGTTGTTTATAAACCTCAAATAGAAGAACGCCAAGACTATAGATATTCGATGAAAAAGTGCAGCCCCTCGCACTGAACAGCTCAGGACTGCTATACCACTTCTCCTCTGGCATACCCCTTGAAGAAACCTGCAATAGCTGTGATGAATTAGACACGCCATGGCTGAAGAATTTGGTCCGGTTCTTAAATTTGATTTTAGAATTTGTGTCTTCATCAGAATCATCCCCAGAATCTTGTTGCCCGACAATATATTCTTTGGCAACATTTTCAGATGCAGATCTAGTGCCAGACCTGGATGGAAATTGAGGCAACCTTCGATTGAAGTTCACGTTCTCACTCAATTTCTGCTTCTTCATGCTGGCCAATGGGAACAATCTTGGATGCATTGACCTCTTTTCATTTCCACTGTGACCTGATTGGTGAATATCTTGATATGCGACATTTTCCTTAACTCCAGCATGTAAAGAAGATCCAAGGTATACGACCTTGTATGATCCCAATAACTTGAAGTGGGATGGCCTCAAGTCTTGTAGGGCAACTCCTTGGGAGTGAGCAGAATCCACAATATCCAAAACCTGTCTAAATATATTTAAACTCTCATCTTTCTTTGCATTAATTCGACCTTCTTCCAGCCATTCTCTCAAACTGATTCCATCACTAAAAGAACTGGAACTAAGATTAGTCCGTGGTTCAGAAACAAAACCTGTAGGTGGTGTAACAATGTCTGCAGTTACACCTAATGGCGCAGCAGAGTCCAATGAACCAAGAGTGAAAGATTTTGGATGAGCTTGGGCCCCTGGTTCATTACTAGATCCTCTATGAGCGGGGCCTTTATGTTTCATTCCCTTGCCTCCCAGTGAACTTTTTATAAAGTACTCGGAGAACCCAGATTTTGATAAAATCTTTGTCCGGATGCCTCCAGACACATCACTGAAAGTACCTTTCTCATCATTACCAAGTACATGATCCACGGCTGCATTATGGCCATGATCCATTGGTTGCTGCTTCTGATCTAGAAACTCAGAAAAGAATGCATCACCTCCGTCCTCCCAATCACCTGGCTTAGCTCGACCCTTGTCTTTGTTCCCAGTGTGTTCATGGAAGCTGCTGATTCCTGATCCACCTGCTAACTGGTACAAATGCTGCCACTGTTTTTTCATTTGCTTGGGTTGTGTTCTACCCAACTTTCCTCCATCATAATTTTCCACAGTCAACTCTTCAACCATGACCTCCGCCTCATCCATGAATCGAGGCCTGCCACTTGCACGTTCAGAAGAACCAATGCTGTCTGAAAAATAATTGTTTGTGGTTTCATTATAATCATCCTCACCAGGTGTTACCATTTCACGGGATTGCAACACACTGGAGCTGCCTGTCTTCAATGTAAACTCGTTCTCTTTACTTCGGAGGTGTAGGCCCTCAACAGCACCAACTTCAGCCACCTCATCACCCACTGCTTCCTCCATACAGTTCAAGACATTCTCATTCAATCAAGTGGTTTATTTTATTTGCACTGCAACATAAACTCACACCATCACAACACCGCATAATGATAATGTACATTTATAATTCACCGCTCAGGAAGTTAAAAGCAGATTACATCAGTCTAGATTTTTACTTCAGATTGTACTCTAAGTTCAACCGCGGACAAACAGTAATGAAATTCTAGAGATTTATATCTAAACTCAGAATGATCTCATTCAACAAATTAATTGTTACTTGACTGACATGAGAATAACTATATCAAATTTTTTCGTATCTACATTGTACTAGAAATAAGAAATCAAACTGAAGAAGCCACAATAACCATTATAGCTAAACTCAGAATGATCTCATTCAACAAATTAATTATTACTTGACCTGACATGAGAATAACTTTCATCAATTTTGCCCCTACCTACATTATCCTAGAAATAACAAATCAAGCTGAATGCATTTACATCTATTTCATTGAAGAAACCACAATAAACATTAAAGTGTAATGTGTGAGAATACATAAGTGTCCATTATATTCTTTTTCAAATAACTCAAAAATACAGTATGATTACTTTCAAAAGAACAAAAAGACAACAGAATTCACAAAAGAGGCATCTCTTTCCCTCCCTTTCTCTAATTTTGTGTTCCTTCTATGAGTTGACCACTCGATTCAACTATGAAGACAATCTAACCTTACAACTGCCTATCACTATGAATAGATTGCACACTTCACTAGATTAAAAATGACCACAAAAATGACCACCAGTTTAGATCCCCATCACATCACAAGAGCACCATGGATCCCTAATCATTACCAGACTATAAGCCTCAACATCATGGCCATTGCTATAACAGTAAATTCCCACATTCTTAACTTGATTTAATGTAACTCAAGCTTAAGAATCTGACATGTGTAAACCAACCTCCAGCTATAATTTAGCTTTTGCATTGCAATCCTAGAAATCAACACTGCCCTAGAAGTTAAACAATTGACATCATTGCTAGAGATCAACATTGCCCAAAGCCCAACGTTTTCTACATCAACCCACATCTTGTTCAAAAATTACACTCAAAATATATTTTTCCCAAAAAAATTCAGCGACAATAATGCTATTAGACAAGAAGAAAATTGGCATGGCATTCTCAAGTGATGTTTCTAAAAAGCAATTTGAGGTCGTAAATGACACTGGTAAATCCGAGATACCAGAAACAGCATTTAACTTCATGAATTCATGCAAATAAACACTGGCAAAAGGGCTTTCATTGAATCATACCTTCCCGATGCAGAAAGAATGCAAATATGAACAGAAAAAGAAAAAATTGGAGCATTAGGGAGGGAAAAAAAAAA